GTTTTACAAGGAGCCACATTAAGGCAGATATGAAAATCCAGAGCAGTGAAACCTACTACTTCACCTGCAGGCCCTGTCATATCCTCCCCAAGAGCAGGAATGGTGAGGGGCTGTGTCCAATTGGCTTGAAGTAAAATAAAAGATAAGTCATTACTCAGCCCTGAAATGTAAATACTCCTGTTTGCCTTTGAAATACATAGGAAAGCACCTATCAGACATTGACTTCCTAGTTCCTACAATTCCTAAAATGCCTGGTCATTATTACCCACATGATACTATAGAGGAAACCAAGACAAGGAGAGGGTTAAGAGATTTTAAGATCAGCAGAACTAAAATTTGAATTTAAACACCTCCTATCACACAATTTGGTCATAAAAAGTTCTAAACAAAGGCAATGTTTAGAAAATAATCAGAAGGTCAATCAGGCATGGGAGAGGCTTAAGAAAAGGATCTGAGGCAAAAGGACTCCCTGAGAGGTCTTTTTAGAACTGAAATGCTAAGGGTATCTCTTGAGGCCCAGCTGGTTAAGCTTACACATCTGCCTTTAGCTCAGGTCATGATCCTGGGACCTGCTTAGTGGGAGTCTATTTCTCCCTCTCCCTCTGACTCTGCCCCTCCCCTCACTCGTGCTTTCCTCGCTCTCTCAAATTAATTAATCAATTAATTAATTAAATCTTTATTTAAAAAACAACTGAAAGGCTGAATCTCTTCTTGGCACTTCTGAGAACGCCCATCCCCTAATTGAGGGAAGTAGACAGATCTGCTGGGTGAGGAGCAGGACAGCATACAGGAGTTGCACACTTGCACAATGGCCACTGAGAAATCGAAACCCTTGTAAGTCTCTTAAGCTTACAAAGTCACCCAAACCATCAGCAGGCTGCCAAAGACCACAGAAATGTCCTTTGACTCAAGGTCGCCTGCTCTGTAGAACTCAAAATGATGTGTTCAAGGAAGCAGTAAATAGCACCAGACTGCCTGGGTTCAAACCCCAGCACTACCACCACCGACTAGCCATGAGATCTTGAATGAGACACAAGCTGTGTGCCTCAATTTCCTCATCCATAAAATGGGGGTAATAACAGTAGAGTAAGCTCTCATTAAATGACACCTGCTGTTATTATCATTCAAAAAGTCTTGGCCAATCCAGGGCCTGTCCTCTTCTGACCCTGTCCCTAAATCATGGTATAAATGACAGTATGCCATTCCCCAAACATCCATCCCCCCAACCCAAGAGCAAAAGACTGCTTCGACCAAGCTGAAGAAAAAAACCAAAAGGCCTATATTAACTATTTCATTAAATGATGTTTGGGAGCTAAAAACCAATAAGCACTCCAGAATCCACATTCATAGGAAAGAAGTATTTACATCAATAGCTTAAACCAAGTCTTTTTCCCCAGAAAGAAGTATATCTTAATGTTTTATATAACTAGGAGACATTCTCCCCAACCAAGAGACAGGCATAAGTTCCATTTTTAAAAATGTAATCTATGAAAATACACTAATTTTCATATTTCAGATTAGTTTTACTATCAAAAACATTCCATTTAAAATATCAATTTAACTTTTAAATTACTAGGAAGTTGGGGTGCCTGGGCGGCTCAGTCAATTAAGCGACTGACTTTGGATTTTGGCTCAGGTCATGATCTCAGGGTCGTGAGTATGTCTTCGGGCTCCAAGCTCAATGCGGATCTGCTTCTCTCTGTCTCTCCCTCTTCCTCTGCCCCTCTCACTTTCTCTCTCTCTCTCTCAAAAAAAATAAATCTCTAAAAATAAATAAATAAACCACTAGGAAGTAAACTACCTTTAACTCAAATATATAATTGTAATTTGGGGGTGGCAATTTCATCAAGTTTCTTTAAAGACAGTAAATATTAATTAGCAACAATGATAGCTACATTTTATTACACACTAAGCACCTAATATGCTAAGTGCTAATTTCTACATCACCTCATTCTCTTAATCCTTTTAGGAGGTATAGGCTCTTTTTATAGAAAAACCTCAACCCTGAGGTTGAGTATTTATGGTTCTGATAGAGAACGGACTGCTAGCACCTGTATGAGGCTTTAACATTAAAATGATGTAGAAAGGAGGATGCCTGGATAGCTCAGCGGGTGAGCGTCTACCTTCGGTTCAAGTGTGATCCCAGAGCCCGGGAATCAAGTCCCACATTGTGCTCCCCGCATGGAGCCTGCTTCTCCCTCTGCCTAGGTCTCTGCCTCTCTTGCTGTCTCTCTCATGAATAAATAAATAAAATCTTAATAAAATAAATAAATAAAATAAAATGGTAGAGAAAGGTGAAGTCCAGAGGGTGGCTCAGCCAGTTAAGCATCTGTCTTCAACTCAGGTCATGATCCCAGGATCCTGAGATGGAGCCCCACATTCAGCTCTCTGCTCATCAGGGAGCCTGCTTCTGCTTCTCCCTCTCTCCCTGCTCATGCCGTGTGTGTGTGTGTGTGTGTGTGTGTGTGTGTGTGTGTGTGTGTGTGAGAGAGAGAGAGAGACTCTCTATCAAATAAATAAATAAAATATTAGAAAGAAAGCAAGCTAAGTCTGAATTACTGGGGGAATCCTGTTAAACTGCAGATTATGATTCAGAAGGTCTAGGGTAAGCTCTCTGATGCTGACAATGCTGCTGTTCTATGGACCACACTTGGAGTAGCAAGGATCACTACAGGTTTTAAGAGGCCACAGCCACAAAAAAAAAAAAAAAAAAAAAGTCCATTAAAAACTAAAACAGAAAACTCACATTTTTCTCGAAAACAACACATTAATACATATAAGCTCTAATATAAGAATTATAACTTATCCATATTTCCTGATGGGATTCTAAGCTTTGTAACATCTTAAAAATATCTTCATAATGACTTCTTGTTTAAATTTAGAGTCCAATTTCTTGGAGCTTTGTGGAGGGTTTCCACCCTTCCACTAATAACCCTGACTTATATCAAGGCTGAGAAGCCAATACATGATAGATTGTTTCAAGTTGTCATACTTTTCTTTTTTAAAAAAAGATTTTATTTACTTATTCATGAGAGACACACAGAGAGAGAGAGGGGCAGAGACACAGGCAGAGGGAGAAGCAGGCTCCATGCAGGGAGCCTGAAGTGGGACTCGATCCCAGGTCTCCAGGATCAGGCCCTGGGCTAAAGGCGGTGCTAAAACGCTGAGCCACCCGGGCTGCCCTCAAGTTGTCATACTTTTCAAGGAGGTCCCTTTCTTTCACTCATCCACTCATAGCATCCTCTTGCTGCTTAAATTCAAACACTAGACAAATGGCAGAGTTACGTGAGATTTCAGGGGCTGGGGCCCCAAGTTTCTCCAGATGAAAAGCAAATTTCCACAACCAAACAGCACCTTACCAAAAGGCAATGACAAATACCGCCGGCTTCCATTTCTTTCCTTAGGTGACAAAGTTCCAGCTATGAGATGGCAATTAGCACTTTATACAAACTGCTGATTTTCATTCTTTTACCGGATCCTTTGAGTGGCAAGTTCTATTTACTTTCAAAAGTCCACAGAATAAACAAAGCAAGGTACTTGACGAGGCCCTATATTCCACCTGGGGACCAAGTTCACGCCTTGCTCTTTTTTTACTCATTTCTGGTTATCCGTCCTGTACTCAAACATTGGCTAGCTGCCTCTTTTAAAAGGCAGCTATACACCATCACCACCCTCCCCGCCCCCCTCCATTCTCTTTGCTAACAGCAATGCCTAACTACAGAACCAACATATCCCTGAGAACATTCCAGCTTACTGGATAAGGTCAGTTTAAAATTCTAGATAGGGATAACCTATTCCATTTGTCTTTCTTTAGAGCCCTTCAGAAATATCCTCTGGCAATCAGCGGAACAAGATGGAGAGGGAGAAAATAGCCTATGATTCTGCAATTTACAAACACTGAGACCTTTATTTAAAGGGTGTCCACATTTTATATTATTCCCAAGGGATGTTTATCCATGTACTCAAGTAAGCGTAAGCCCAGTGCTTGGAAGAAACAGAATGTACATACATTGCAGCCGCATGCAAATGGCTTCTCTGGCTAAGAAGGCTATGAAGTTTTGCTGCCGGGCCTCAGAGGAAGGCCTACCTGTGGCAGGGAACGTGGGGACACAGTCTTTTTCTGAACTGGAGCATGCCCTGTCCACAAGAGAGCTAAGCAACTGCCCAGAGAGGCCTATTACAAAACCATTCAAGAGGGTCAGGGCTGGCAGGCCCCAGCCCCGAATACCCTGGAAGCTGAAAATAAGAATTCTGAGAAACGAGCCCTACTGTGGACAAGTCTGACAGAAAGTTCTCTGTTTCTGCTGCCTCCGAAACTGGCTGCCCTCCTCGAGTGATTGAACTCTGGGTACCAACTGGGCAATGCCGGCCACTGTGCTGGGGCAGAGGATTCAGGGATGCTGGCGGGGTCTTCTAGGTTAATCAGGGAGAATCCAACCTCGGCGGCATAAGCTGGAGACTCTGGGGGGCAGGTCTGGGCGCCCCCAGGCATCTAGGCTGCAGGGCTCCGTTCAGCAAACGTTTCCTGAGCGTCTACCGTAAGCTCTGCACTCGGCTGGGTGCGAGCCACGGTCCCCCGTGCTGGAAGCAGACACTCGAAAGGGCCTGGGGGGGCGGGGGGCAGAGGCTGTGCGGGCCCCGGAAACCTGCCACACACACACCGCTGTGCCCAGGGCCACCCGGGGGCGCCGCACGACCTCCGCGCCGGGCTCCGCCGGCCCCAAGCTCCGCAACCAAAGAGGCTCGCGACGGCGGGGGCGGGAGTGGAGGGGCAGGCCCGGGGGCAGGTGCTCAGGTAGGAGCACGCGGCCGGGGCTGCGGGGCTGCGGGGCTGCGGGGCTGCGGGGGCTGCGGGGCTGCGGGGTCCCCGGGGGCGGCCCAGGGCCCCGCGGCGGGGAGCGCGAGGAGCGGCCGGGCCTGCGCCCCCGGAGCGCGCGCGGGGCGGGGAGCAGCCGGCTAGGCCGCCCGCCCGCCCGCACCTGGGCCCCGCCCGGACCTACCACTTGGGCGACCTTGAGGCAGCCGAGCGCGCCGCGCAGGTAGTCGGGGTCGCAGCGCAGGCCGGCCAGCCCGCGGCGCTGGCTCACCGGCTCGGTGGTGGGCTGGTACGGGCTGCTGGCGCCGGAGATCATGGAGGTGCTCGAGGCCTCGCCCTCGAAGCCGTCCAGCTCCTCGCCGCCCCGCATGCTGGCGGCCGGCCCCGGGGCCCGCAGCTGGGGCTCAGCGCGGCCGCCGCATCGCCGCCTCCTCGGCGCCCGCCGCCCGGCTGCAGCCGCGGTCGGTCCGCTCGGGCTCGGCTCCCGCCGCCTCGGCAGCGGAAAGGGAGGGAGGCGGGAGCAGGCGGAGGGGGAAGGAGGCGGGAGCCGGCGCGGCGAGCCGGGAGGGGGCGGAGCGAGAGCCCGGCCGCCGGCCGCTCGGCGGCGCTCCGCGGCGGGGGCGACTCGGAGGCGGCGGCCGGCGCCTGGGGCGGGGGCGGGGCCTCGGGGGCGGGGCGGGGCCTCGGGGGGCGGGGCGGGGCCTCGGGGGGCGGGGCGGGGCGCCGTCCGCTCGGACCCCGCCCTCACCTGCCCGTGCGCGGGGGCCGCGGGCGGGGGCGGGGCGGGGAGGGTCGCGGGGACCTGCTCCGCGCGGCCTCAGTGCGGGTCCCGGAGGCAGCGGGGGTCCGCGCAGGTGGGCCGGGAGACTTCCCCGTGAAGACCGAAAGGTGCCGCGCGACCCCCTCCGCTGCGGACAGTGCTGGTCCAGGGTGGGCCCGACCAGAGGGGGCGACGGCTCTGGGCTCCCGCCCCGGAGCCGACGCCGGGAGTGGAAGAATGAGCGAGGGGGTCGCTCCGCGCCAGGTCTGCGGGACCGACGCGCTAAAGGTCCGTAACTCCCAGTGTGAGCCCTGGATCCCCCGGCCTGACCGAGGAGGGGCGCCCCCACGTTGTAGACGCCCCCCACACACACACACCCGTAAGCAACGTTAGTTGCCTCGCAGCTGAAAAGATTTTGCGAGCTCTGTCTAATCGTCGTCAGGTTAAACACAGATTTTTGTTCTGACGGGCATTAATCAGGGACCAATTTGCAATTCAAGTGTGAAGGCTAATTTTAAGCTGAAGTAAAACACTGACTTTCTAAGAATTGTCGCTTCGGTTGGTATTGAACTCTCACACACCGCACATATGCAGAGCTTCCAGTGCTCCAGGCACTGAGCAAGACGCTTGAGGGAGATATTGTTCCCATTTTACAGAAGGGCAGATCGAGGCTCAAAAGAGGTAGTAGCTTGTCCTCAGCTTGCCCCAGCTTTTCATCACACAATATAGCCTAACATGTAATGTAAGCAGGCTGGTGAACTCCAAGCTAAGATGCAGTAAGCTCCATAACTAGAAAGATTTCCTGAGCGCCTGGGTGGCTCAGTCGGTGAGCGTCTGCCTTCGGCTCAGGTAGTGATCCCGGAGTCCTGGGATCCAGTCCTGCATCAGGCTCCCTAAGGAGCGCCTGCTTCTCCCTCAGCCTGTGTCTCTGCCTCCCTCTGTGTCTCTCATGAATAGATAAATAAAATCTTTTAAAAAGAAAAAACTAAAAAGATTTCCATTTAAAGGGCTTCCACTCTTAGGTTACCAAAGATGGGAAAGACGATCTCTCATGCTCTATTCAACCAACAAATCTGTATTGGGCACTTACTATGTGTTAAGACATATACTAGGAACTGGAGATAGACTGCCAGGTAAAAATGACAGGTTGGATATAGGCTTTGGCCTTTGTTGTCTCCCAATATCCCAGTAAAATGACAGTGATGGAGATATTTGGGGTGGGGAGGGGGAGCATAAAACCACTGGGACAAAGAATGAGAGCCAAGGGCAACAAAGTATTGGAAGCAAAATAGCAAATGGGCAAGTGATAACTGACAGCAGACCCAAGAAAGCTAAGCCCTAAACTGGCACAGGGAAAAGCTAAACTACAACGTAGGTTATATCACAGAACAAAAGGCTCCAGAATGGGCAGCACCAAGCACATGTAGAAGTGGATCACTAAGGCACAGTTTAGGGCAGGGGTACCATACTGAAAATTGTGTGTGTGTGTGTGTGTGTGTGTGTGTGTGTGTGTGTGTGTGTATGCTGAATAATGGGAAAGCAAAAGACTTAAAAATTCAATAGAATGATTAAAGAAGGGGCGCCTGGGTGGCTCAGCAGTTTAGCACCTGCCTTCAGCCCAGGGCATGATCCTGGAGTCCTGGGATCGAGTCCCACATTGGGCTCCCTGCATGGAGCCTGCTTCTCCCTCTGCCTGTGTCTCTGCCTCTCTCTCTGTGTGTCTCATGAACAAATAAATAAAATTTTAAAAAAAGAAGAATTAAAGAAAAGGAAATCTTATGGGAAGTATAGCCAAAAGACAAAGACATTGGAAATAAGAAAAAAGAAAATTAGAGGAATAGTACAACAGAATAATAGAATAGTAAGACCTGCATAAAATTAAAACCAAGAAAATGGAGGAAAGAAACCATTAGATAATAATTGAATAACATTTTCCAGAACCAAAGGACATGAGTTTTGGACAGTGCCCAGGACAGTGAATGAACGTGGACTCGCACCCAGGCGCACGGCACTGGCAAGGAAAAGATCCTCAAAGTTACAGAGAGAAATACAGCAGGTTTCACTATAAAGAATCAGGAATCAGAAAGGTATCAGACTTTTCTACAACAGCTTTGGGAGCTACAAGGAAATGAAGCAAACTCTCTTCTACATCCTGAGGAAAAATTACCCCCACCCTGAAATCTGGTTCCATCTGGAGTATCAATCAGGTATGAGAGTTGATGTCTCTTTTGGAGAACATTATGTTCTCATGCAGAGAACTCCCTTTGTCCTTTTCTCCCAAGGCTGCTGGAGGACACCACCAGAACAAGGATTTAAACCAAGGAAGCAAAGGACAAGAGATCCAGGAAAGAGTGGCTGCAGCGTAGAAAGAGGTGGCAAGGATCCCAGAGTGAGGGGGGCAGAGGCCCCCATACATCAGGGCTGGGAGTCAACCAGCCCAGATTGGAGCAGCCAGAGGCTTTGAGAGACTTCTTCAAGATGGAAATTAATATGATGAATATACAGAAAGAGAGATGCATAATTTCAGGAAAGTTTTGAGATAAGTTGGGGATAAGTGCATGGAGAATTAAGTGAATATTCATATATATTTATTAACTGCAGGGAAAATAAAATGATGCATAGAAAAGTATGGTGAATCTCATGGCTCAGCTGTCAATAATCTTTGCATAACTATAATAATGTGAACAATGAATGCTGATCTAACCAGAAGTAACCAGACAGGATGTGTGCAGGTGTGATAGAGAGAAGGGGAGGGTACGCAAGAGATCTAAATACTCATCATCTATCATGAGAGATCAGTAGATGCTTAAAACTGAAAAATCCAGAGGTAGCAGTATATGCATGTTAATTTAAAATATAAAGATAAGGGGACGGGTGGCTCAGTGATTGAGCATCTGCCTTTGGCTCAGGGTGTGATCCTGGAGTCTCGGGATGGAGTCCCACGTCGGGCTTCCTGCATGGAGCCTGCTTCTCCTCCCTCTTCCTATGTCTCTGAGTCACTCTCTGTGTCTCATGAATAAATAAATAAAATATTTAAATAGATATAAATATATTAAATATAAATATTTATATTATTTATTAAATAGAAGTAAATAAATCTTTAAATATATATTTTATATATATATAAAGATAAGTACACAAATAATCAGTTGAAAGTTTCAAAGTGTTGCTTCTGGGGAACAGGAAATTTAACAAGGGTTCTAGGCCTTGTAGAACTATCTGATTCTCTCAACTATGTGCACATATAACTTTAACAAAAGTAAAAACTCGTAGCTGACTTAGTAGATCCTGTGACTCTGGATCTTGGGGTCATGAGTTCAAGCCCCACATTGGGTGTAGAGATTACTTAATAAAATATTTAAAAATTCTTCAAATATCTAAAAATAAAAGCTAAGTTAAAAACCATTTTTTAAAAAGGAACTTGAGAGTCAGTGGTGAGCAAGGCAGATACAGTCCCTGCCAGCATGGATGTGGAGAGCAAGTATTGAAACCTATAAGTGTAACAGAGCATGTGCTGAGTATTGTTCATGGTGCTATGGGAATTTCCAGCAAGGATTTCATTGAATCTCTGGATCAGAATTTCAGCTGAGATTTGACATGTGAATAGCAGTTAGCTAAGCAAAGAGATAAGGGTTGATGGAAGTGTGTTCTAGGCAGAGGGAACAAGATGTGCAAAGGCCCAGAGACAAGCAAAATCAAGGCATAGTGAAGAGGCTCAAACGCAGAATTCATGGGGAGGAAGACACCAGACAAGACCTGCAGCTGGAAGGAAGCCTCTGGCTGGTCCCTACGGGAGTCTGGTAGGCCGTGTGACAGGGTGGACTCTGAACAGAACAGTGCTAAACCGAAGTGTCCCGGGGAGGCCTGACTTTTAGAGCTTACTCTGACTTCATTGAGGGAGAAGGATTGAGCGGAAGCAAGATTAGAGGCTTTCTCCAGTACTTATTAACTGTTCCCTGGTCCTGGACACTAGCCTAGGTTTATTTTTAGTTCTAGGGACAGACTCAAAATTTTTACTTCTGGTTTTTAACAGAAGTTAAACAGACTTCCAAAGGATGTTGTTAGGATCCCACATAGTAATGGTAGGTAAAACTTGGTATTATCGTGCCTTCCTCAGTTTCAAATTGTAATGTATCATGAGTCTGTGGCTGTAACTGTGTCTCCAAGTGTCTATCGGTGCTGAGATCAAGATGAGGATGATAGAGAAGTGGGCAGCCTTCTGACAGGTTCCTAGGTTTCAAGGTCTGATTCACATATCCAGGGCTGACTCAAGGCAATCAGACTCAGAAGAGCCTGATGGATAAACCAGATGTTACTTTATTAATTGCTGTCAGTGGATAGAGACTCTGCCAGCAATCATAATGCTGATTCATATCTCAATCCCTGAACTTGTCCTGAAAGAGCTTCTTGGAGCATAGCATCCTTCAGTATGGGCTATTCCCCAGAATCCCACGGCTCGCTGGATCAGGCCTGGCCTGGCCAAAGTCCCTCAACCTCTCATTTAGCCCTGAGCTTATTTCCCTCCGGGGGCAACCACGTCCAAGTCTGGGGGTCTCCTCACTCTAGCAACCCTAGCACTCTAACACTCTGGCACCCCTCCACAAACACCATGATTCCATGGACTCTTGAAAAGTTCTAACCTCAAGAGCATTGGTCCTACAGGGACTTCAGATTCTAAATCCCACGAAGGACTGGGAGCAAAGCACCTTCCTGAATGGTGGTCCCTGGTGCTCTATACCTGGAGGTGGTGCCTGTGTTGTTGA